AATGGTTTTAAACTAAACCAGGGTAGGTTTAGACTGGATCTAAGGAAGAAATTCTTTACAATGAGGGTGGTGAAACACTGGAACGGGTTGCCCAGAGAGGTGGTGGAGGCCCCATCCCCGGGAACATCCCAGGCCAGGTTGGATGGGGCTGTGAGCAACCTGATCTCGTTCAAGGTGTCCCTGCTCCTGCAGGGGGGTTGGACTAGATGACCTCTAGGTGTCCCTTCCAACCCAAAACATTCTATGATTCTATTTTTATTTATTTTATTTATTTATTGTCGCCGGGCTTCTGCCCGCCCGCTTAACTCAGCTTTTCCCTCTGCCTTTGTCCCGCAGGGCGCCTCGGCGTTATTTGACATGATCGAGTATTACGAGTCGGCGACGCACCTCAACATCTCCTTCAACAAACACATCGGCACCCGAGGCTGGCAGGCAGCTGCCCACATGATGAGGAAGGTTCGTGCCCCCTCGCAAATACCTTCATCTCCCCCTTTAAACACGGGTGAACCCCTCGAACCATTCCGCTGGGCTTCCCCAGCCCGGAGGTGTGGTTTTGTCCTCACCTCTCCGGAAAACCACTTGCTTTGGAAAGACCTGGTTAGCCCAAGCTGGCAGGCAGGAAAAAGAAATCCCATTTCCCACCTGCCGCGAGGTTGCTTAATGCCTCAGCGAGCCCCCGGAGCGGAGAAAACGGAAATGCAGATCCCAGCAAAAAGAAAAGACGAGAGCAAGGTTGTTATTAGCGGCGCGCTTGCAGGGTCAGCCTCTCGAGCTGGGTGTTCATTATCTTTACAGCAGGATGCCAAGCGCCTGTGTTTGGCTTTGCCGGGCTAATTAACCTCATTATTCAGCCCTTGAATTCCCTCGGGAAGCCGAACGCGCGGAGCAGGCAGCGCCTCGTGCTTCCCACTTGGGGCGCGGCGCCAAACCGCCCTCCCGTCTGCAATTCACCTCTCGACCTGCTGGGTTTCATTTTGGCGCTGCCGATGGTTCGCCCGGCGCTGCCGGCGCGTTGCGCAACTCCGCTTGGAAAGCCGGCGTCGTCCCCCCACCCCCCCGTAGCGTTCCCCGGCCACCCGGGCGTCTTCACGCTGGGGACAATGTGGGCAACCGGAGCTCGCCCCGCGCGGGCCGTGCCCACCCTGTGTTTTGGAGAAGCCAAACGTCACCGCGCCGGTGTTGGCCAACCCCGTAGCGATGCTTTAAAACCGGCTGCGTGTCCACAAGCGCGGTGAAGGAGCTTGGGACGGCTGCGCCTTGGGGCTTTTTTATTTTGGGGGTGGGGAGGGTGATTCCGGAGGTGTGAAAGGGCTTGCGTTAGCACGGAATAACGGGAAATCCCCGTTTGGCGTGGCGCGGACCTTGAGCAGGGATAGGCGGCGTCTGCGAAGGCAGGGAAGGGTCTTAGGGCTTGGAGACAAACCCAAGGGACGCGTGGCTCGACGCCTTCCCAGAGCCCGCATCCGGAGAGCTCAGGGTAGCACATCCCCGGGTGTGTTAAGGACGAGGGAAGCTTTTCTTCGGGAACGTGCTGCTGCTACGGTCACCTGCAGCGCATCCTCCCCGGTGCCGGCACTTGAGGCAGAGTCGGTGCCGGGGGCGATTCCCCGGGAGATAAAGTGTTTATCTGGAATTGTGTGGGTTGAGTGTGGAGCTGGGTGTGGGCTGTCCTGGCACATGGGGTTATCTGAGCGGTTCCTTCTGGCTCTTTGCCTCTTATCGGAAGCCACCATGCTTCGGATGGGCGTAAGCCATCCCGGGAGCTCTTATCTGAGTGGCCTGGAGGCAGCGTGGGTGGCCAGGATGGGACTTGCCCCTGTAAAATAGGGGCAACCTTAAACCCAACCTAAAAAAACAGCCCCAAAACCCCTCCAGCGGCCGAGCGCTGATCCCTCTCATGTCTCCCCCTCCCCGCAGACAAACTGCCTGCAGTACCTGGACGCCCGAAACACGCCCTTGCTGGACCACTCGGCCCCTTTCGTGGCCCGCGCCCTGCGCATCAGCAGCAGCCTGGTGGTCCTGCACTTGGAGAACGCCAGCCTCTCCGGACGCCCGCTCATGCTGCTGGGTGAGTCCCCGGAGAGCGGAGCGGGCGCCCGGCTCGGG